CACACACACACACACACACACAACCAACGTGGAGACACACACACACACACACACACACACACACACACACACACACACACACACACAAAGTGGAGATGGGCCCCAGCATGGAGACAGAAGGGATGTGGATCTGGTGCGGATCAGGGCACCACCCATGAGCCACAGAGAGACCTCTGAAAAGAGGAAGCCCATCCTACTCCCTGCCTGGTTCACCAGGCCAGATGTGGAGCCAGGATGTGGGGCAGCAGCAGCAGCAGCAGGTGGGGGGAAGACTGGACGCCCCCCACCCTACCCCTCTAGACTCCACATGTGCACACAAGCCCACAGGTGGGCTGAGCGGATCGACCACGGCTCCCACTCCCAGTCTGTGTGCGCGGCAGGGGCAGCCCACGCCACCACCCCGGTCCAGGGACGGCCCTGCCGGCTGCCAGGCAGGCATGTGCGCCAGAGCGGCTGGGCACGGAGGCCGAAGGGCAGGAAGCCTTCCTGGGCTGTGCCCGGGGCTGGGCGGCCTCACCTTCAGCTCCTGCATGGTCATCTCCTTGCCCTGCTCCTTGCTGCTCTCGATGAGAATGTCAAGGGCGTCTGCATAGTCCTTGCCCTGAGGACACTGCAGCTTGTCCCGCAGGGCCTTCTCCAGCCCCTTCTGCAGGGTCTGCCGAGCCTGGATGCCCTGAGGGCCGTGGAGAAGGCAGCTCTGAGTGCCAGCCGTGGGAGAGCCTCCTCCCATGGACCCCTTCCTCTGTGGCCCGTGTGACCCCAGGACTACCTTAGTGGTCAGCCTGCTCCCTGAGGGGGGCGGTTCCTTCTCTCCCCCCAGGCCCTGCAACAGCCACTCACCCTGCGATAGCCGCTGAAGGGCAAGTCGACAGGCAGCGAGAACACGTTCTCCACAAACTGCTGGTAGACCTCAAAGAGGTGGCCCAGGTCCTCCTCGGGGATGCTGAAGCCCAGCAGCACCCGGATGGCCATGCGGAAGGTGAGCTTCTGCGCCTCTTGATAGACGTTGATGGCCTCAGGGTGGCTGCTCCAGGCCCGGAGCGTGTCCTGGATCACCAGCTGGATCTTGGGCAGGTAGCTCTCCAGAGCCTCGTGGCTGAAGATCTTAGAGTAGACCTGGGGGGAGGGGAGGGACTGGTGAGCACAGGCCCCCAGCCCCTGCTGGACCTGCCCTGCTGACCTGGTGAAAACCTCAGTCCGAGCCGCCTCTCAGCACAGACAAAGCCCTTCAGTCTCCCAGAGGCCTCCCCGGCCCAGCCCGCTGCCAGGTCCCTTGTCCTGCCTCCTATGCAGGGACAGCAGTGGTCCTTTCAGAGAACTCCAGAGGGGCTGAGCTGTCATCCTAGACGGCCCCCCAAAAGCACGCACTGCAGACAGCAGCAAAACTTTGGGGACGGGGCAGCTCGGAAGCCAGGAAATCTGAGTTTGCGGCTGTTAGGACCCGCTCCTGGGCCTGCAAGAGGGGCCGCTTGTGCACTGGAGGGGTCCTGGTCCTGACCTTCCTGAGTGCCCAGAGGGGTGCAGCACGGAGGCTGGAGCGGGCTCAGCAGAGGCAGGGCAGTGGGTGGCTCCTCCCCCCGAGGTGTGACACCACCAGAGCCTAAGGCCAGATCACGAGCAGGACTTCCTGGGCAACATCTACTGCACGGAGCTTTTAAGAAGGGAATCCTCTTCAAACAGCTGTGCTATCCAGGTGCCTGGAGGTCCCGTGGTTGGGCTGGTAGCATCCTAGCCCAACTGGTCACCAAGCCACACAGAGGCCCTGGTAACAGACCCCCTGCATCTTCCTAGCAGCCTGCTCACCACCTCCCTGCCTTCCTGATTGGCTCAGCCTCCTGCGCCCCCCCCTCCACCCCTGCCCCTCCCCAGCCAGGTCCCCCTGCACACGTTTTTCACGCAACTGCCAGGGGTAAGGCGGGAAGGAGAGCTCCTTTATTTACTGATAGCCTCTGGGTCTCCCTGGTGACTCAATAACCTCCACTCCCCACCCCCTAGTCAGGTACAGGCTCTAGACAGAGGCACCCCTGCAACCCCCACCCTCTCAACCACCCCCTGCCCCAGTGCAGGGAAAGGTGGGGATGGAGGGTAGTGCCCAGGAAGGAGAGACAGTCTGCTAGCGACCCCGCCCCCCCCACACACACAAACCACACACACGCGCCTGCCCTCCCCTCCTGCCCCCAAACACAACCAGCGCACAAACTGTAAATGTGAGAATTTCCCCTGCAGTCAGCGCGGGGAGGAAAAGGTAACATTTTCCTGGCCTGGGCCCTGCATGGCTAATGGCAGGGCTGGTTTGCAGGAATAACAGTGCTGGCCCTTCAGTGGCCCAGCCAGGAGCTCACAATAGCACTTTCATTCCGAAACTCCCGGTGGGGAGAGGGCAGGCGGGCGGGAGGCCGGGAGGGGCAGGAGGCCTGCACTATTGGGGCCCGCCCGCTCCTGCTACAAAAGGACAGCTGGGCGGGGGCAGGACCAGGAGGCTGTCCAGGGTGGTGCGGCCAGCACAACCCCCTCACCTTGCCCTTGCCCTACCGTGAGCCCCCAGGGAATGGGCAGGGGGACTTGAGGTGCCTGAGGGGCGACTGGGCCCCTGGAAAGGGTACTTATCCTCAGGTGTCCAGCCCCAGCCTCTTGGTCCAAGGGACTTGGGAGGCAGGATGAGGAAACCCCCCACCACTGCCCAAGGGTCTCACAGGCCTGCACTTGCTGACGGAGGCCCTGGCAACACAGCGAAGCCCCTTGGTGAGGAGAGTGGGCACAATGAGAAATCGAGGCAGGAGGCCTGGATGGGAGGCCACAAGGGGACAGCAAGCCCCAGGCCGGGACAGAACCCACCAGCCAGGGAGCGAGCGCTGGCCAGGGACCCTGGTCTGTCAGTAGGAGATGAGAAGACAGATGGGGCACCCAGGGAGACCTGCGTTCTAGCCTGGGATCCTCCACCCACAGACTTTGAGACCATAGCTGAGTCCATGCCTTCACTGAGCCTCCGTGGACCCCCATGGTGCATCCTACAGGGACCAGGGGCCATCATCCCAGGGCTACCAAAAGGGGAATGTCCAGGGTCCCCACAATACCTCAAAGAGCAGCCAGAGGGGCCCACAGGCCTGCTGTGGACCACAGGTCCCAGTCCCTGCGCCCTCTAGCGATGGCTGGCTGAACTGCTCCCTCTCAGGACCTGGGGCCAAGCCCCCACCCCACCCTTGACAACACAAGAAGACAGGAGAAGTGGGGGGTGGGGAGGCTGGGCCTGAGCAGAGGGACCCCCAAGGTGGAGTCCATACCCTTTCACTGGAGGGCAGGGGTTCTGGGCAAGGCCAGAGGCCAAGCAGATGCCCACAGTCACTCTGCCGCCTTGGGAGAAAGGAAGCCAGAGCCCTGGGCTCGCTCGGACTCACCAAGGAACCACCTGCAGGCCGCTGCCCTTTGTGGTATCCCAGTGGGTAGACTGCAGTCCCCATTCACCAGGCTAATCCACCATCTCCTGGGAGACCCTCTGAGCATGTATCCCAGATCCCGACCCCCCTACACCACCCGAAGAGGAGAAAATCTCCACAGGAGGGGCAGGTGGCAGGCTCGAAGGGCCTCCTCGGGGCTTTTCTCAGAGGTCATCAAGTGCACAGCTCAGCCTCTGCCCACAGGCCCCAGGGCCTCCAGGCGCCAGGAAGCTGCAGGGCCTCAGCGCTGGGTCTGTGCCCAGGGTTAACAGCGAGGGCACTTCCCAACACCCAGGCAGCCCAGAACCACCACCCACCACAGAGGACGGGTCGTGGTGGAGGCACTGGCCAGGGCATGAGGAGGCCTGGGCTGCACAGGATGGGCTGTGTCAGAGGCAGCCGCCTGCGGGGTCAGGATTCGGGCACCCTGGGAGGGTGCCCGCTGGAGTTGAGCTGTGTGGAGAGGAAGGGCTCTGGGCCCCCAGCTCTGACCACACTGGGAAGCAGAAGCCAAGGATGCTTTGTTTCCCTCTGGGGCTTCCCTCGGAATTCCCAAAAGTGAGCCAAGAACACCAGACAAAGGTCATCTTGAGCCGGCCTGGGCCCCGGTAAAAGGGAGCAGCAGGATGGACTGCCCCAGGGCTGGGCTGGGGAGGCCAGGAGGCCACTGCAGCCAGAACTCTAAGCAGATGGGTGCCCACAGGTGGGACATCCCTGCACGAATCCCTCCTAGGCTCCGGGTCCCCCCACCCCCACCCCAGCACAACAGGCTTATGGGCCCAGGTCAGGGACAATTCTACAGGGTGTGCCTCAGGGGCAACAGGGGGCTGGTGAAGGCTCAAACACCCTCTATGAATGC